TTATGCCAGCACCGTTTGTTAAAGACACTGTCTTTTTTCCCCAATTAATGGACTTTGGGCTTTTGTCAAATATCAGCTGCTCATAGGTGGATGAATTTATGTCTGGATTCTTGATTCTGTTCCATTGGTCTATGTATCTGTTGTTGTACCAGTACCATGCTGTTTTGACTACCATGGCGGTATAATAGGTTCTAAAATCAAGTAGTGTGAGGCCTCTTACTTTGTTCTTCTTCTTGAGTAATGCTTACTTATTTGGGGCCTCTTTCGTTTCTATATGAAGTTGGTGATTTGCTTCTCCATCTCATTAAAAAATGCCAGTGGAATTTGGATCCAGGTTGCATTTTACCTGTAAATCACTTTGGGTAGAATTGACATTTTCACAATGTTGAGGACTCACTAAATTTAAAATATTTAGAAAATACTTTTAAATTGAACATTAATCTAGATACTCTCCATTCATCTAAAATTATGTTAAATATCTACTCTGTATATGTGTGTGTGCATGTGTGTGCCCAGGTATGTATGTGCATGAGTATATTTAAAAGCAGGTATTTATAAGACTTGGACTAAACAATCTAAGAAAAATTTATATTTACTTTTCTAATAATATTTTTTAAATTAGGCCCTTTCATCAAATATCCTTCAACATTATTTTTCAATATTGACATCTTAACAAAAATATTAACGTGTATCTCAAAATGACATCAGCATAGCGAATAATGGAGAAAAATTAGCATCATGGAATGTTCCATAAAAAAAAAGAAATGGGCATTTGATTATTTTCAAAAATAGGGGTTAAATTTTAAAAATCCTGCTGCAGCTATTAACTGGTTTGCTGTAAATGAGAAACCACAATTCTTATATAGTTGCTTTATTTTATCCCTGTCTTCGTCATCTAGTGCTGCTCTAACAGAAATACCAGAAGTGGATGACTTTAACAAAGAGAAGTTTATTCTCTCACAGTCCAGTAGGCTACAAGCCCAAATTCAGGGCATCAGCTTTAGGGGAACGTTTTCTCCGTCGGATCTGGAGGAAGGTCCGTGTCATCAATCTTCCCTTAGCCTAGGAGCTTCTCTGTGCAGGAACCTCAGGTCCAAAGGATGCGCTCTGCTTTCCTGGTGGTATGAGGTTCCCATGTGTCTGCTCGCTTCTCTCTTTTATATCTCAAAAGAGATTGGCTTAAGACACTATCCAATCTTGTATACCTCATCAGTATAACTGCCGCTAATCCATCTTATTAGATCATAGTGATTGAATTTACAACATGTAAGGAAATCACATCAGATTACAAAATGGTGCACAATGATACAA